TAGCCTTAATTCATATATGCTTTTCAGATCTCAATCTCTTAATCATAATTTTTGATTATGAGGGACCACGTAGCGGATTTATATTTTAGGTAGAAGAAGAAGAGAGTAAGAATATGAGTGTTGAAGCAGTGATGATTGTAGGTTTGGTTAGGTCAAAAAAGAAGCTTGAATTTGAGCTTTGGAAGCTGGAGATGTGTTTAGTTGTTAGTTGGGTTGTTTTTTTGATATAATTGCTTACAAGTTGTTAGGGTTTGCTAATGTTAGTTTGCTTTTAATGGAAACTAGTCGATTGTCCATGTAATTTTCTTTTACTTTAATAAAAAAACAAGTGTTATGTTTGATTGGTACTTTAGTTGGTGTTAGTGAAGTTGGAAATGGTACATATGCAAATGTATGCTTTAAAAAATTCACATACAACTAAACTAATGTGTAAAATTCACCCCAATACCATGTATGTCCATAACTAACATAAAATCATAACCACATTCAAACCAATAACATTACAAACATTTTTCTAGCAACCATATGTAGTACATAACACCAAACATCCAAACTTATTTCGAAACATTACAACTTCATCCAAATATAACAAGTAAATCATGAAAGAAAGTCATAGTTGGTTTCTTAGTCAACTTCTATTGGCTTATTACCATTTTTGCATTCCCCATTCTTACCCTCAATCCTTGTAGCTAGTTTTTCTTGGCAATTATTTCACACTTCTTTATCTTCATAATTCTCTCCTTACCTTTGTCCTTTGCTATTACATTTTCACATTGTTTTGTTCCACTAGTTCCTTCCCCATCTTTACCATCTATTTTATTCCTTTTCTTTACATTGAGTTTTTCTGCCTTTTGCACTTAAGGACATTTTACATTGTTGTCCTACTTGCTTGCACACACCACACAAATTTTTTCCCAACCTTTGACACAGTATGTTTTGCACCCCATTCACTTGGATCCTTTATTCTATTCACTTTACCTGACACTGTTCTCCTCAATAGTGGCAAAGTTGGTACAAATTCAGTAGATGGCCACATATTTCTACCATTCATCCCACGCATTGGATACTTTGTAAGTGTTCCTATAAATTGTTGCATAGTACATTGGATCCACATAACTTCCAACATCTCTATTAAGGAAGGAGATAGTTGCAACTAAATATACACGTCCATAGCTATTTAATTGCCACACTCTACATGAACAAGTCTTCTTATCTAGATCCACAACATAGGACTCTGTCAAGTTTCTTGTTTCAAGTTGGCTTAAATCAGTTGGGACAACCTGCCAATACACGTTGACATTGTATTCAAGTTAGTATATACTAATAGTAGTCAATTTAAAATAAAAAATATTATAAACTCATTAAGTAGTGTTATAATAGCTGGAGATGGTTTATATTTAGGTCATGAACTACCTTTGATGCTCAAACTGAATTTTACGTCCATAACATGCAACCTAATTTCTTCTAACATTGTGATTATTGGTTTTTTCTTGCATCTCTAATCACGTTGTTAAAGCTCTTATATAGTCTATTTTCCACTGCATCACACATCCAACCCTCTTGAAAGAAAGGTCTACACCATGATTTTGGGTTCTTTTCCATAAGGTAGTCACATGCTATAGGATTAAGCAGTTGAATTTCCTTCATGGCTACATTGAATAAAGGCTCAATGGATGCCTTACATGCCTTCTAAAACATCCTCTCATAGTGTACACTGGTGAATTTCTTGAAGTTGGAAAGAATATGCCTTGCACACTATATGTGCTTAACAGTAGGCACTATCTCTTTCACAGCCTCTAACAGCCAACATAAAGGTAATGTGTTGTAAAAAAGACAATTCACTTTTGTATACATGAAGTAAGATGGGTAGTGACATACCTTATGTTGATCTGACATCAAGTTAATACCAAAACCATTTGCTATTTCTAGGTCATCATTAAGATTCTCCAAAAACCAATTCCAATTTTCTTTGTTTTCCGCACAAACAACAGCTTATGAAATTAGGAAAATATGATTGTTAGCATCCCTTCCTACATCACATATTAACTCTCCACTACATATACTCTTTAAGAAACAACCATCCAAGTTTTATTACTCTTCTGCAACTGCCTCTCCAGCCTTGCTTCAGCCCCTCAAAACATATGTAAAACTTACTAAAATATATCTTTCCATCTAGCAAACTATTGACATCCATTTTGACTGTTGATCCTGGGTTTGATCTTCTTATCTTTTTACCATATGGCCAAAGCTTTGCATAGTTCTCAACTAGAGTGTCTTCAATTAGCCCAATTGCATGTTTCCTTGCTCTCCTACACCGTCCCATACTCACATCAATTCCAAAATGTTGTTTAACTTCTTCCTTAAGTAGCCTAATACTTATTTTTTGGTTTTGTAAGATTTGTGTTGTGAAATGATTGATAATCCTTTCATAGATAACAATTGAGCCCATTTTGAAATTTATTGCACAATTATGCTCATCTATAAGAGACTTAATCTGGAAAGAATTTTCTTCACTCATCCATGAAGCCCACAATCTAAACCTGCACTGCCTAGAACAACATTTAACTTAAAGTCTCTTACTATCATTTTTTATAGCACAACTGATAACCTTTTGCAACAACATAATTACACAACATATATTTTAAATGTTTAGGACTTTCAAATCTCATACATAACACATGCTTTTGCTTTTTCCAATGAACTTTTTCATTAAAAGTTGTTACCTGCTCAAGTATTGCCTCATTGTCATCCATCTGAACATATGGATCCTCATGAGGTGGATTGTTTGGGAATGGCTGCACCTTGGGGTAGAGCTTGTTCAAAAAAGCATCATTCAAGGTCTTATTCATAGGAATGCAATGAACATCTTCAACGTTATCGTCCATATTATCTTGCAATTCATCTAGGTTAATCTCAAATTCTCCCTCAACATGCAAATCTTCCATAACTTCACCTACACAAGAAAGTTTGTCGTCGGGAGTGCATACTTAACTTACTCATCAAGAACCCATTGATGGACATTGACACCAATATGATCCATGTATACAGAAAGTATACAACCAGAAGCATATCCTACTGCGATGAATTCCTGGTAGTCTATTTCACTAGCTATTATTCTCATTGCATCAGGAAAATCAATATCGGACATGCAAAAAATACACATTAACACATTTCTCATTTACGGTCCTTTCGAGGAACACCACAAATTCGTTCTTGTCTATTCCAACAAAATCGACATCCTGAAACATTTTCTCCACTCCATCTGATTAACTGATCATAGGCTACCCCGTAAAAATACCAGCAAAATGAAGATTGATCTTCATGTAAACGAACATAGCAAGAATTCACTGGAGAGATTTTTGCAAGAAATATTAGAAGAAAGGGGAAGAAGAGAGCGACTATTGAAAAATATGTCCTCTAGCTTCCAAAGGAAGGGTACATACGTCTATTAATGATACATTAGGTGACATCCTAATTGGCAGATGATATGATATCGTTTTAATGACATGTAGGATATAACCGGCTGATTAGGAAGGGGTTCACCGGGTGACCCCTTCACTTTGTAGATAATGGCCTTAAAAGCAGGTAAAATATGAATTTATACCCCTAGAAAGCAAAAATAAATAAATTAATAAATAAACAAATAAATAAAAATAAAAAGACGTTTTAAACCAAAAATGTGTAAGATGGTTGAGCTATAATGAAACTTTCCCAATGAATTATAAGATAATTTTTTTTCATATTTATGTAAACAATTTACAAGTAAACTCATTTTTTATGGTAAAAGAAATAACTTTTTGTCCTAGGTCATAGTGGTATATTTTGAACAAAAAAAATGGTTACCTTATAACTTATAAAGTTATAAGGGGGTGTTTGAGGTGATTGTTTTTTAAATCTACAACAAAAGTTTTATTGATTTATGGTGGTAGCAAAATGATTCTTTTTTAAAAGTGTTTGGATTATTTATTTATTTATTTATAACAAAAATCAATAACTCAATAAATTAAAAAATATTTAGTTTAAAATAACCTTAATTTTTTAAGCTAGTGATTAAAGAAGATACTTTTTTTAAAGTCAAATTTTATATATTCTTCAAATTCTTCTTTTTAAAACTAATAAAAAAACTATTTAAAAAAAATACTTTTTAGGTTCTACACTTTCTTTAACTTATTAATAATAATAATAATAATAAAAACACTAATAAATCAACAACTTGTTTTAAAAAATAATCCCAAACACCCTAAGTCATTTTTTCCAGAAAAAAATAATTTCACAATCCAGTATAAATTTAGTAATTTTTTTTCTTTTTTTTAGAAAAGGACAAAAAAATATCCTACCTAATAAATAAAGAACTTTTTGCCACTTGTCAATTTTTTATGCATTTGGACACATGTAATTTTGTAGTTAATTCTTAGAAATTAATTTCCACTTGTCATTTTGTGGTAATTTTTAGTTTTCTTAATTAACTATCTAATTTTTAGGTTATAGAAAGTAATTAATATGTCATTAATTTGTTTCCTTATATTTTCAAATTTTAATATGTTTCCTTTAATATATATAATTCAAAATTGATATGTTTTTTTTTAAAGTTTATTGTTATTTTAGACAAAATGGTCTATATAAAAAAATAATCAAACTTTGTTGTTTTTTATTGACAAACTAAAAAAAATGTTATATGATCAAAATATAATTATTTTTCTGTAGTTTGTTTTATTAATATAAATTGAATTATTTATTTATTCATCATTTTGTTTGTATATATATTTTGAAATTTTATTTTAAAAAATACATAATGTTTACACTTTGATATTTAATATTTTCTTTAAAAAAAAATATTTAAAGTTTATATCTTCATATATATAACTTTTTTTAATCAACCGTGTATAATTTCACACCTATTTTATAAAATACAATCGTTGGTCATTTACCCAAGACTTCCCTCAATTGTCTAAACGTAAAACCCCAATTGAAACACACTCAAACGGTCAAACCCATAAATCATGCTTCTCCGGCGTACAATCCCGTCGGCCATTTCGTACGCCACCAGCCGGCACCATTCCTCCGCCGCAAAAAACCTCAAATCTCTCTCAAAAATACCCTATAAATACAGAGCCAAAGCCACCCAACAAGCTCAAGAAGCCCTAACAGACTACCTTCACGCCGTCAGAACTATACCTTACACATTCGCGGAAAACATCAGCAAATACTCCGCCGTCTCTCTATCTAACGTCATGTCTAAAGTGAAATTTTCGACATCCGACTTCTCCAAATCCTTACAGAGGTTCTTAAGGTACCACCCAGTTAACGAATTTGAATTATTCTTCGAAAGCATTGGCATTGATGTTAACGATCTCGATGGGATTTTACCTGCACGTAAGTTCTTTCTATCAGAAGATTTAAATGCGTTTAATGCTGCTTGTACCCTTTACAGTTTTGGGATTCCATGGAATAAATTAGGAATGTTGTATAAAGAACAGAAAACAGTTTTCGATAAGGACCCATGTGAATTGAAGGAAATCTGGAAAAGGTTTTTGGATTATGGTTTCACTAGTTCATCTCTAATTGGGATTTTATTGGTTTTTCCTCATTTGTTAAAAGGAGACAATGAAATTGATTCATTATTTCATCATTTGAAAAGGGTTATCATAGATTTCGATTTGATTAACGATGTGGAAGGCAATGTGGATGAATGGATTGATATCTGTAGAAAGATTCAATTATTTTACCATTTCGATTCCAGCAAACCTGACCTGTTTGAGATGATTGGTAGAAGCAAACATATTTTGGTGGAATATTCAGAAGAAATTTTAGCTGAAAAAATCGAATACTTTTCTAGATTTAATGTAACAAACAACGAGATCCTGTCATTGCTTCTTTCACAATCAGAAATCTTTGGATGTAACTTAAAGATTCCTATATTTTGTGTATCGGGGCTTTTAAAACACTTTGGGATGGATGAAGAACATTTGAATTCTATCATCAAGAAATACCCTTATGTTTTTGGTAGAAATAAGCTATCCAATCTACCCGAAGTAATGAGATCTTTAAATCTTAATCAATGGTTCTTCAATAAGATAAAAGACGGGGGTCATCATATACTAACTAGTTATACCATTCCCATTCCCAATTCCAATCAAGATTTTGATAAAGATTTTCTTGAAAGTTTAATTAAAATTCAATCTTCTAGGGTGCCTAATCACACATTAAGTAAGCTCGAATTCCTACACGCTATTGGCTATGGTGAAAACGGTTTAACCATCAAAGTGTTAAAACATGTTCATGGGACAAGTAGTCAATTAACCGAGCGTTTTAATTGCTTAATTCATAATGGAATTGAATTTTCAAACCTTGTTAAGATCATTAGCTTATCTCCAAAAATATTAAATCAACAAGCGGAAATTCTCGAGAAGAAAGTGAGGTTTTTTCGTGAAGAGATCGGCTCATCTTTGGAGTATCTTGATGTTTTCCCGGCTTATTTGTGCTTTGATTTAGAGAACCGAATAAGGCCCCGATATAGATTTCATATGTGGCTTATGGAAACCGGTTTGTGTGGAAGAAAATACTCACTTGCTAGCATTATTGCCACTAGTGAGTTGAGCTTTATTGCTCGTGTGTATAGAATTCACCCTGCAGCTCCAAAGAAGTATCTTGAAATCTTTATGAACCAAGATTGTGATAGTTTTCAAGATACTTGACAGTATTGTAAATCAGGTACACAGTGGTCTGCTAGGTGGTTGGCATGTGAGCTGATAAGAACAGTAAATCAGGTACACAGTGGCCCACTAGGTTGTAGGCAGAAAAGCACCCAAGTACCGCAAAACATCATGTGAGATGTAAATCAGGTACACATTGGCCCACTAGGTGACAGACAGAAAGCAGTGAAAACATCATGTGGGATTTAAATCAGATGCACAGTGGCCCACTAGGTAGCTGGAAAAAAGGCACTGCAGAGCATCATGTGAGATGTAAATAAGGTACATATACATACTAATTAATATTTATGTTGCTATTAGAATAAGTTTGATTTTTTGGGTTTATTTTTTTTATTTTAAGCAGATTTGTAGTTTTAATTTCGTGCATTGAAAATTTTGTATTATCATTTATTTCTTTATATACTTTTGTAAATTAAATTAGTAGTTAATGTATTTAATATTGTAAATGAAAGCAATATGAAGAATGAAAGTCAGATGATCAGTTGCTATAAACCAAGGATATTTTGGTAATTGTACATTTATCTTATTAATTATTTTTTTTACAGCTACTTACCTAATTATCCAAATATGATTATTTTGACCTGAGAAGTAATCAGAAAATCAGAATTACAACCAGATTATTGAAACCATTGAAACTTACTAATTAACTATTGCAATCTTAAATTGCATCAATCAGTTTAATCCCACCTTATTAATATAATGATGAGTGTATAGGAGGAAAAAGTCAAAATACTATTCACTATGAAAGGAAAAAGAAGAAGAAGTCAACTAAGTCAACACAGGGTCAACAGCTTTAGTCAATGCATAGGTCAATGAAATAAGAGCTGTCAGAGTTGTAACTAACTAGAAAATGGGCGGGAAATGTTGTAAAAGAGCTGTCAGTTAGTTGTGAAATGTAGTTAACCAGAATCAAGTGCCATTAGGGACAACTAGTTCTGACTAACACAGGGGCAAAATGGTCTTTTTATAAAATATTTCGTTCTATTCATGTTGAATGCGTTTTTGTAAAACCAGGTTTGGTTTCTATAGCATGGTTATGATCTTAATGAAGAGTTGTTAAAGTGTGAAAGTTTTTTGGTATTTTAAATGTTTTTTCTTTGCTTTTCAGACCAACCACAGGCAAAATTGGTGACAGCTGGCAAATATGATATATTATATGTGGATCTGTACGCCTTATACAATAGGTTGTACTGTGTTTGGCCCATGGCCTGTATTGGGTTTGGAGTGTTGGTGACAGCTGGCAAATATGATATATTATATGTGGATCTGTACGCCTTATACAATAGGTTGTACTGTGTTTGGCCCATGGCCTGTATTGGGTTTGGAGTGTTGTAACTAAGACACAAATTGCAGTTTTTTGTCCCACCTAAAAGATCAGATTCTATTGTTCATAGAAATTATATTATTTTCGAACAATAAATATTGCAATGCGAATTGTAGCCAATACCTTGTACCATGAAGTTATAACAAAAAAGTTGGTATTGTTTGATTTATTTATTTATTTTTTTTCAAAAACAAGATTTAGGTGGATGTTAAATTTGATAGCATTTAACCACTTGGGTTGTGGTGACTTGGTAAGACATGTGGAAGATATGGTGGATAACTTATTGACCCATGTTCAAATCCCGGCACCACTCAGCCCTTGTGGCCATGGAGGTTCGCCTGCAGTGACTCCAGGGCATGAGGCAAAGCCTCATTGTTTGCAGCGGGGGATTAGTCGGTGCGCGAAAACTGACCCGGAAACCCTCGTTAGGGAAGTTCCCTTTCCAAAAAAAATAAATTTGATAGCATTTTATGAAATCTTGCCATAAACAAAATAAATAATGAGGTGGGCTTAACTTCGGATATACAAAGTGAAGGGTCTACAGCCTAAGGGTATCAACATTTCTTGGTAGTGGTATCTGGTTGAGGGTTAAGTCCTTTTGGGATATTTAGGATTAGATTTATGGGATGTTAGTTGTTAAAAGAAAATTTTCTTGTACAAATTTAGATTTTAGGCATTTAGTTGCAAATATGGTATTTCTAGTTGCACATATCTTGGTTGTTAAAAGAAATTATTTCAACACATATATAAATTACATCACAACCTCGAGTAAACAAAGAAACAATTGTCTCACTTTTAAACAAATTCAACATTACATGAGGTTTCAATGAAAAGACATTATAAGACCACCCCCAATGAAATTGTAAAACTACGTTCAATTTCCATCAATGCAATTACATACCTTTTTGAAAATAATGATCACTATCATGTCAAAAAAATGTTTTATTATTTACAATAAATATTTTAACCAAGTGATTCTGATGCAAACTGTGACAAAGACTTTGATTTTGGTGATCGATGAGAGCTTCGAGTCCAACAGCAGGTGGAAATGGAGGGACGAATGCACAATCAAAGTGAAAAGACATACTTTTAGTTTAGAAACATTGCTGATTGTTCTTTTGGTGAACAGGAATGTTCTTTTGGTGGGCAAATACCAGCTATAGATATTTTTTGAGGTTGAATTCCAAAAAATAGACACAAAAAATCAGATTTTTGGGTATAGACATTGATTCCGCGGAGGTGAACTCTGAGGGCTTCGCGGAATCTACCGTAGCTCTGCGGAATTACAAAATCATAACTAAATCAGGGGTTAAAAAAAACTCGATGAACAGTTCCGTGGAGGTGCCTCCGCGGACCTCGTTAGCAGCCCCGCAGAATTGTTCTTCGACTTTTTTTTTTTCTCTAAAATACCCAGATTAAGATTAGAAGAATATAATGAGATATCATATTAACATCGGAGGATTATTCCCTCTTTTGGTCCCAAGTCAACTTATATTCTTATTATTATTTTTTTTCATTGTAATAATTATAAAACTGATTAATGTAATGAGATTTATCGCTTATTGATATCGGAAGATTATAATGAATTTATTCCCTCTTTGGTATAATGAGGAGGATTGTAATAATAATAATCTATACGATTAATTAGGATTATAATGAATTTATTCCCTCTTTTGGTATAATGAGGAGGATTGTAATAATAATAATCTATACGATTAATCAGGGGTATTAACGCAAAAAAAAAAAAAAAAAAATCGATGCAAAAAAAAAAATTCGATGCAAAAAAAAAAAAAAATCGATGAACAGTTCCGCGGAGTCATCTCCGTGGAACTGTTCATCGAGTTTTTTTTACCCCCGATTTATTTACGATTTTGCCATTCCGCAAAGCTACAGTGGATACCGCGGAGCCCTCAAAGCTCACCTCCGCGGAATCCATGTCTATACCCGGAAATCCGATTTTTTGTGTCTATTTTTTGGAATTCAACTCCAAAAAATGTCTATAGGCGATATTTTCCTTCTTTTGGCTGCAAGTATCATCACCCTAAACCTATGTATTATATGGCCCTGATTTGATGACCCATACGAATTAAGGTGGTGTAGATTTTGGGTATCAAGATGGATCTTCACTGAGGGAGGATAGTTTATGTAGTTCCAGATTCAACAAGAGCATATAAAGATCTCACTGTGAATATATATTTCTTTAGAGATTTTCTTGGCCCTGAAAAGATAAAATATTTGTTAACTATATGCTTCTTAACCAAATATTATAAGTTGAACAAATATCATTAATTATATTGTTTGCGAATTTGAGATTAGATATTTTATCCCTTCTTTACCAAATATAAAATTTTTATCCTTTCTTGGCTCTGAAAGGATAAAATGTTTGTTAGTTATATGCTTCTTGATCAAATATAAGTCAAACAAATATCATTAATTATATAGTTTGCGAATGAGGGATTAGATATTATTAATAATGATATTACAAAACCTGCAACACTATTATTTAGTTCTGATTTTGTTACGATCTATGTATCAGGTTCTTTAAAGAAATGAAATAAAAAAGGTGGACAAGATTATCATCCATAATATAGATAATAAAGAAACCCCAAATACCTAAAAAAAATAAAAAGAAATGAATATGTAATAAAGATTATGTCAAAAAAAGCCAATACTAGTTGCTCTAATTAGTTACCTAAAATGAAAAGAGTACATACCAACATTTGTATGACATTCATTTTGAAGGCAATTGATGCCAATGAATGTGTGCAAATCATTGAACAAATCTTGTACAAAAATTTGCATCGGTAACCGACTTACGATGCTATTAAAAGCTCACATGGAAACTAGGTACAATGAGACATCTTGAGGAGTCTCACATTTAAACCGATGTGGTCACCAAGAGCTAAGTGAATCCGATCGATGTGGGATGCATTTTAGGTACTAGGCACAAATACATACTAAAACCGCCCCTTATCAGTCTAAATGTGGGTCACAAATGGAACCAAAAAGATCTTTACATTGATACTTGATAGGATCTCTTTAATTGGCTAGAATCCATTAAAGATTAATCAACCCAAAATAGAGTACATTCGATTGGTATGTGTGACAACCCGCAATTTCTATCTTGTAATCAACCAAATCAATCAAAAGTTCAGCCTTGTTTCTGCTATCCTCTAGCTGTGTTAAGGGTCATTCATAGGTCTCTAAGCCTAGTACACTCAAGGGTTGGATGTTAGGATGTATTAGCTTGAGATATAAGGAATTCATTAGAACCAGAAAACTCATCAAGGAGTGTTCACGGCCGCAAACTAGGTTCACGGTCGTGAAATCATGTTTGGTCGTGAAGCCCTCTCTCTCTCTCTCTCTCTCTATATATATATATATATATATATATATATATATATATATATATATATATATATATATATATATATATATATAGAGTCCCCATTTCAAGAGTCCTCTCAAGTATCATCTTTCAAGAGTCCCCATTTCGCTCCAAAATCGTAAGTGTTTCATCCCTTCTTGTTCATACTTGAAAGCTTACTTGATTCTAGCCTTGATTCATCATTGTTCATCACCATCTTCATGATCTTCAAGAGTTCACAGCCGTGAACCCTTCATCATGGGCCGTGAATCCTTCATACTTCAAGAACAT